ATTATCTCTCCCCCTATTTTCTCTCTTAATCCGAAGTCAACATTCTTAAATGTTGTTGTATTGATACTCCAAAAGTGATACACCAAAGAGATCATAACTAATTGATATTTTTTTTTCTTTTCAAATATGTAAAAAATTGACATAATCGAATATCAACGTTACACTAAATAGTTACACCAATCAGTTACAGTTGTGCTATAATACAAAGTAGAGTTACACATGCGTCTCATAGACCAAACAGTTACACCAAACAGGAACAGGAAATGACGACACTATAGCCAATGCATCATTCAGTTGTTTATATAAACTAAAGAGTTAAATCATTCAGTATCACCACATTGTTACATAATTATATACACCAAAATGGGAGAACCAAAAAAACACTTCAAAGAGATACAATATATAGGGACACCAAACAGATAAATCAACGACATGTACATATAAAAAAGTATTAAGCCAAACTATTACACTTGATAGTTGCACCATCCAGTGACATCAAAAGGCTACAACAATGACAAATACCAAATAGGTTCACTGTCAACTGTTACAAATTAGGGCTTTTAAGTTACAAACTGCTTTACCATCAACGGTGATTTTTGTGATATTGTTACAAATTAGGGCTTTTAAGTTATGATTTTCGGTTTTATCAAGTAGAATTATTAATTTTTTTTTAAAATAAGGTATTCTTATCGTCAATTGTCGGGGATGAAACTTAGCAGACAATGAAGATAATAGGGATGAGATGATGAAGACAATAATAATCCAGTGACAATTATAATAACAACCTAAAATCACTGGCGTTTATTGGTGATAAAGCCTATAGTCAATCCAAATCGCCGACAATTTTGCTTAGTTTTCTCCTCTAAAACCCATGATTTCGTTGGATTTGGAACAATTTGGGGTTTATTCTTCGTCAATAGGAGGTAAATCCCGATTTTTTAGTTACAGTGGAACAATGGATGTTGATTTTGAAATTCAAAGCCCACTTTGAAAGTAGAAGATTGTGTTGAATGGCCTTTTAGTCTTTTTCCATAAAAGTGTACTTAGGGCTAAACAAGTTTCTTTAATGTATTTTATCTCAAATAAGTTTAAATTTTTGTACCGGCTTTAGTTTTTCCCAATTAAGAAACCCAATCCAATTCAGTTTAAATCTTTTGTTTGGGCTTAAAATCTAAGCTTTTTTGGGGGGTTTTTCTTATGGATTTAAATTTTTTGTTTGGGCTATTATTACACACCTAAAAATTATAGAACTTTTTTTAAAGTGCGCTTAAAGCCCAGACCTTATTGGCCTAGTGATTGGGCCAGCCCTATAGAGTGTTGTCAACGTGCCATGGGTGAATAATCAAGAACAATAATATAAATTTTACGTGGTTTGATAAAAATTATATCTACGTCCCTAGGAGCGGCTTTTTTTCACTATATCTTAGAATTCAAATGGTTATAACATGTTTATAGGCAACAATTAATAAATCTAATCATGGTCCAATTATAAAAACTACTCCTAAAGTTATTCCAAACAATTTCCACTTGGGAGGATATTCCGCCACTAAGAAAATATTAGCTGTTGTCTCCACCTCGAACCAACATGTTGGGGATGCCACCCTTTTCAACATTGAGAAATATTAAACCAGTCCAAGCAATATTGCTTGAACTTGTTTGAAGGAATTGGCTTTTGCCAGCATTTCAGTAATTTTCTAGTAAGTTATAATTGGGGCTTAGTGCTCTTTAGGAAACTTATAATGAGTTAAGTCCATCACTTAACACATTTTTGGGAATAAATCCATTATTATCTTTGTAGGAAGTAGTTCAAAAAATGTACTTGAGGGACCATAATGATGCAATTAAAATATTGTAGACCAAAATGAGACAAACGTCATATTTTGGGAATCTCCCCCCATACAATTAACCCCCTTTAATATAATTTTTCTTCAATGAATGAGGGGTCCATTTATCCACCATTAATGAGTGAAGGATCCATTTATATACAATGAGTTTATTTAAATTACATGGACCAAAAAAAGAATTTAAAAAGAGAATGTATTGCTGGAAATCTCCATCTGTTTTGATCTCTCTAAGTGTGAGAGAATTTTGGTGAGATTTATAATTATAGCTGTTTCTTAAAGGGCTTGAAAAAATAAAACTAGTGATTCCTTCTTTTGGCACTCGCTAACAGGATGTTACTCTTGCGTTGTGGATAGGTATACCAACAAGTGCTCTGAAGAAAAACTAACCATATAAATTTTTTGACACCATATATAAAACCATAGTTCTGGCAGGAGCAGCATTAATAGATAGTCCAAATATCATTTAATTCATATTAGTACAGGCCGGTTACTCATGCAGTGGTCCTAACTCAGAAAGTTTGAAATTTGCGTGTCATCTCTTATTCAATAATCAAATCAACTCGTAGGCACCATGTATAAACCGATAGTTATGGCAAGAGCAGCATTAATAAATGGTCCAAATATCATATAATAAGTCATGTGATGTACATGCAGTGGTCCTATCTATGCCAATAGTAGGATTCCCCAGCTGTCATGTTTAGCCACTGGTGCAGCAGATATGCCTGACGAAGTGGGTTGCCCTTTTGAGAGGGCTTTGTGTTAACGCCAGATTGAATATAGCCATGAGCATAGATATTAATGTCCTATGATGTGCGATAAATATCGCAGATATGTCTTGATATATAAAAAAAAATTGATACAAGTCGTGTTTTTATATTATTTTTATACTATATTGTACGATATATGATATAATATATATGATATATAAAAAAATATATAATATATTTTTTAAAGTTTTTTAGGGCTTAAACGATATCGTTTCACATAGGATCGTAGTTTTTTAATCTTTAACCAGTAAAACAACGTTGTTTCGGTGACTAAGTTTAAAAATAAATAAAATAAAGGTGGCTTTCATCTTTGATTTACGAAAACCAAAAGTTGTCCACCAAAAAGTCAAAAATAGCAAAAAAGAACAACATCAGTCTTCTTCGTCGCAATAAATTATTGCACAGAGATTTTCTTCTCTATTCTATTGTTCTTCATCTCAAAGAAGTCTTTTAGCCTTCTGCTTGATCCTCTGGATCTACGAAGAGTTCAACTGAAGGTTTAGGCCTTTACCCTAGTCAAAACCCTAGACTTTTTCTTTTCTTCTTCTTCGTCCTCTTTCTCTGGTTTATCCCTAGCGAAGAGTTCAAGTGTAGTTGCAGACCCAAAAAAAGCTTGGTTCTTCCTCTGTAAAGCATTTTAATATTAGTGAACTATATTCGAACCTTGAATAATTGGTGAAATATTAATGAAATCTTATGTTATTTTGAGTCTATGACTTTTTTTGTAGAAATATATATATATGTGATACACTATTTTAAAAAAATGATACGTCTTTCAATATACGATTTGACAACTATAGCCATGAGTTTATTTTAAAGAGCAAGAGAAGATCTATAGCCACTTATACCTTCCTATGGATTTAAGCATGAGTCACGTGTTTATAAGCAGGATTATGTTGTGCACATGTTGTGTAGTGTACAATCAAACAATTTTAAAAAATAAAACGCAATTAAGAATGATGATACCCAAAATATACCTAAAATTGAGCTCGGGTATCCAACTCGGACTTCCCAGGCTCAAGCCACTCAGGCCATCACGGATTATTAGGGAATTTAAGATTGATGCCTCCTCCCAAGCAACTGTATCTTTATAGGAATATCACAAAAGACAGCTAGCTTCCACCCAAGTACCACACATAATGTAATGGTCTTGTATTTCGGCAAAGAAGTTGTAACTGTATTGGACCAAATGACTCCCTTCAAAGTGAATTAGCCGAGCTCCCGAACTGGTGAACCACTATAAATACTTTGTGTGTCATTCCCCATCTCCCTTGTTCAAATCTTGAGAGCCTAGATGCTCTGACTGAGTCATTTAGTAACCCATTAATCCCTAAAGATCACGAGCTCTACTCAACTGTGCTACACACACCTTCAGTTGGTGCCATCTGTGAGAAGGATAGTTCCTATAAAAATTCTACTGATATCTTCAGTAATTGATAGTTTCTACGGGCAACATGAGTAGAAATTAGATGAACCCTATGCGTCTACAAAACCAACAAGTCACCACTAGAAGATACCAAGAGGACCCCTTACCTAATCCTGAAGCTAATCCTCCAATGGCGAACCCTCCTCCAAATGATGAATTTGAGGCCCTTCACCAAGACAACCAATGTCTCCTCCAGGAAAATGAGGAATTGTTAAACCTCATCCGCATTGGGCATAACCAGCCCAAGATGATCCCCAACGGAGGGAACACAATGTCCCAATCCTTTAAGGGAGAATACGATGAATAATGAGCACAGTCAATCATTTGACAACATACGTCGCCGAAAGAATGGAGAAAACGAGAAAGTGCAAATCCAGTATAGGGGGACTCATAAGAACGAGCTTCCCCCATTCCAGCAGGAAAAGAACGAGCAATTCTAAGAGCAACGCTTCAAAGAGATCCAAGAGGAGCTCAACCACATGAAGGAGGCTATAAGGGTGCTTGTTACGTCTTCCCTAATCTCCAAACACGAACCCGTCATATGTGTATGTGGCTTATATGAGTAGGGGTAAGCCACATATACATATTACGGGTCATTGTTGCGTTTTCCCCTGTTTTTTTTTTAATCATTAGTTGACATATTATGCTTATGGTCCTTTTCATTTGCTATGATTAGATGAAGCGATAAACCAGAAAATGTCATTACACATTTGGATCAGAACTCACTCTATAATCTTTTCATGATGATCAATCCCTAAACATGCTGCTACCTAGCTAGACAATTTTCCAATGTTACTGTGGTTCATCCCTCTCCATATATGGATTCAAGTTTTGAAGAACACATATTTGATGTTGTGCAACTCAGCAGCAGCAACACCAATATCCATTCGAAGTCTTGCCGATTCTGCAGAGCAAGCGACTCCAACTCCAAAGATAGAAATCAAGCACTCTTTAGCTTTGTGACTACTCATCAAGCTTTGATTTTTTTTTGCCACTTAAGCTTTGTGCCTCTTCAATTTCCTGGAAAAGTATTGGATCTACGATTTCAGCAACTCGGTCAGGCAAAGCCACCTCAACAAAATTATGAAGGTTAAAACCATCTCTAAATATGTCATCTGTAGGCTTTTTCCCTGTGAACATTTCCAACAAGAGCATGCCAAAGCTGTACACATCACCATAAGTCGACAATGCACTTCCCATCCCGTACTCTGGAATGCATATCATAAAATCAAACTATAATTCAAAGGCATTGGTACGCAGCACAATTGAAAAGTAATTCTTCCGCATAAACTTTAATAATGACTTGTCGGGGAAAAAACATGTCAATGTGGCCAAATACCGTAACTTAATAAATAATGATACAACACAAGTAATATCTTAATATGAAATGATACAACGCATCATAAAAACTAAGAATATGAAGATGAGAAAGCAAAGAATAAGAATTTAATATTGAAATGTATTTACCTGGGGCAGTGTAACCAATTGATCCTCTTATGACAATAGAGCTTGTTTGATTTGTGGATGATTTTTGGGTGGCTATTGGAAGGAATCTTGCCAATCCAAAGTCAGATACATGAGCAACCAATTCACTGTCCAGAAGAACATTACTTGGCTTGAGATCGCAATGAACTAAAGGTGTCTGGCAATAACGGTGAAGATACTCCAGTGCGCCAGCAACATCAATAGCAATGTTTAATCTTTGAAGAAGGTTAAGTTTCTTCAACACCATATCATCTCGATTTTCTTTTGGATTTGGATGCAGCCACTCCTCCAAGTTGCCATTAGCCATGAACTCGTAGACCAAAGCCTTGAAATTATTTCCTTGATGATCCACACCTACACAAGCAGTTAGCACCTTGACAAGATTCCGATGTCTTATGTTCCTCAAGGCATCACACTCAGCTTTGAAACTCTTGGTTGCTCCACGATGCGAAAGGTTAAGAACCTTCACAGCGATAATTGTTCCATCATCGAGAATTCCTTTATAAACAGACCCAAAGCCACCCATACCGATCAAATTAGTTGAAGAGAACCCATCTGTAGCTTGGAGGAGACTTTGATAAGACACTTTTGAATTGGATTTTCTCTGTGGATATGAAGAAAGCACCGTCTTGCTCTTTTTATACCAATAAAGTACAAAAAAACTCAACAACAAACTTAAACCCAAAATCACAGAAACCATAGAGATTATCACTTTAAAGGTCAACGTGGAGGTAATCTTCTTAGATTGTTCAAAGTTGCATCTAGGAAGCTGTAATTCAGGAGTACCCCCACAAACCTTAGGGTTTCCAATCCAAGACATTGCACTAGCATTCTTAAAGATGCCTTTTGTTGGCAACGAGCCCTTGAAATCATTGTAAGAAAAATTGAAATACTGCAAATCGAAGTCCCCTAGATACTCTGGAACTTGGCCGGATAGATTATTGCAAGAAACATCTAGAAATTGAATACCCCTCAAAGAAATTAAAGATGAAGGAATGATCCCTTGAAAGAAGTTTCCTTCCATGTAAATTTTTTCTAATCTAACACAGCTACCAAGTGTGCTCGGAATCTCACCAGATAACATGTTCTTGGCAACAATCAATTCACCAAGATTTTTCATATTTCCAATTTCCATAGGAAGGGAACCCGTCAATTGGTTGTGAGACAAGTCTAAATACAATGCTAAGGATGAGATGCCAAAAACTTGTGGAGGTATTATGCCACTAAGGCTGTTTCGAGAGATATTCAAAGCATTCAACATTTGACATTTTCCCAAACTAGACGGGATACTACCATAAAAATTGTTGTTGTCCAGGCGGAGTTCTGTTAATATACTTAAATTTCCGAGGAATGAAGGAATTTCACCTGAGAATCGGTTAAGGGATAAATCCAATCTTTGAATTTTTGCAAGCTTGGCAATATCATGGGGAATGTTACCTGTGAATTGATTGTTGCTCATGTCAATATATGAGAAGTTGGCAAAAATCGAAAGCCAATTTGGAATGCTCCCAAAGAGTTGATTGTTTCCTACTGACAGTCCTACAAGCTTAGTTGAAAGGTTTCCAAAAGAGTCAGGCAATACCCCTCCAAAATTGTTATTACTCAGACCCAGTTCTTGTAAACCACTTGCATTCCTCAAAGATGAGATGAAACTGAGGTCATTGGCATTTCCACTTCCCAAGCTATTACCAGAGATGTCTATATGACGAAGGTCATGTAAATTTTCAAACGTAGGCACTTTTCCAATGAGTTTGTTTCCATCAATGAAAAGAAATGCCAGATTTGACATATTGGACACTGAAAAAGGAATGGTACCAGTGAATCGATTTCCCGAAATGCCAAAGTAACTGAGATTAGGAAGAGTGAAGCCCATGTCCGATGGAAGAGTCCCCTGGATTTGGTTCAGTGGCACAAAAATAGTAGTGATAGAAGAGAGATTGAAAAGTGAGGGAGGGAAGGTACCAGACAAACTGTTTTCAGAAAATCCAACGTATTCTAGTTTTGTCAATTGTCCTAGAGAATCAGGGATACTTCCAACTAGACTGNTCAGCAGCAGCAACACCAATATCCATTCGAAGTCTTGCCGATTCTGCAGAGCAAGCAACTCCAACTCCAAAGATAGAAATCAAGCACTCTTTAGCTTTGTCACTACTCATCAAGCTTTGATTTTTTTTGCCACTTAAGCTTTGTGCCTCTTCAATTTCCTGGAAAAGTATTGGATCTACGATTTCAGCAACTCGGTCAGGCAAAGCCACCTCAACAAAATTATGAAGGTTAAAACCATCTCTAAATATGTCATCTGTAGGCTTTTTCCCTGTGAACATTTCCAACAAGAGCATGCCAAAGCTGTACACATCACCATAAGTCGACAATGCACTTCCCATCCCGTACTCTGGAATGCATATCATAAAATCAAACTATAATTCAAAGGCATTGGTACGCAGCACAATTGAAAAGTAATTCTTCCGCATAAACTTTTATAATGACTTGTCGGGGAAAAAACATGTCAATGTGGCCAAATACCGTAACTTAATAAATAATGATACAACAAAAGTAATATCTTAATATGAAATGATACAACGCATCATAAAAACTAAGAATATGAAGATGAGAAAGCAAAGAATAAGAATTTAATATTGAAATGTATTTACCTGGGGCAGTGTAACCAATTGATCCTCTTATGACAATAGAGCTTGTTTGATTTGTGGATGATTTTTGGGTGGCTATTGGAAGGAATCTTGCCAATCCAAAGTCAGATACATGAGCAACCAATTCACTGTCCAGAAGAACATTACTTGGCTTGAGATCGCAATGAACTAAAGGTGTCTGGCAATAACGGTGAAGATACTCCAGTGCGCCAGCAACATCAATAGCAATGTTTAATCTTTGAAGAAGGTTAAGTTTCTTCAACACCATATCATCTCGATTTTCTTTTGGATTTGGATGCAGCCACTCCTCCAAGTTGCCATTAGCCATGAACTCGTAGACCAAAGCCTTGAAATTATTTCCTTGATGATCCACACCTACACAAGCAGTTAGCACCTTGACAAGATTCCGATGTCTTATGTTCCTCAAGGCATCACACTCAGCTTTGAAACTCTTGGTTGCTCCACGATGCGAAAGGTTAAGAACCTTCACAGCGATAATTGTTCCATCATCGAGAATTCCTTTATAAACAGACCCAAAGCCACCCATACCGATCAAATTAGTTGAAGAGAACCCATCTGTAGCTTGGAGGAGACTTTGATAAGACACTTTTGAATTGGATTTTCTCTGTGGATATGAAGAAAGCACCGTCTTGCTCTTTTTATACCAATAAAGTACAAAAAAACTCAACAACAAACTTAAACCCAAAATCACAGAAACCATAGAGATTATCACTTTAAAGGTCAACGTGGAGGTAATCTTCTTAGATTGTTCAAAGTTGCATCTAGGAAGCTGTAATTCAGGAGTACCCCCACAAAGCTTAGGGTTTCCAATCCAAGACATTGCACTAGCATTCTTAAAGATGCCTTTTGTTGGCAACGAGCCCTCGAAATCATTGTAAGAAAAATTGAAATACTGCAAATCGAAGTCCCCTAGATACTCTGGAACTTGGCCGGATAGATTATTGCAAGAAACATCTAGAAATTGAATACCCCTCAAAGAAATTAAAGATGAAGGAATGATCCCTTGAAAGAAGTTTCCTTCCATGTAAATTTTTTCTAATCTAACACAGCTACCAAGTGTGCTCGGAATCTCACCAGATAACATGTTCTTGGCAACAATCAATTCACCAAGATTTTTCATATTTCCAATTTCCATAGGAAGGGAACCCGTCAATTGGTTGTGAGACAAGTCTAAATACAATGCTAAGGATGAGATGCCAAAAACTTGTGGAGGTATTATGCCACTAAGGCTGTTTCGAGAGATNCCAAAGCCTTGAAATTATTTCCTTGATGATCCACACCTACACAAGCAGTTAGCACCTTGACAAGATTCCGATGTCTTATGTTCCTCAAGGCATCACACTCAGCTTTGAAACTCTTGGTTGCTCCACGATGCGAAAGGTTAAGAACCTTCACAGCGATAATTGTTCCATCATCGAGAATTCCTTTATAAACAGACCCAAAGCCACCCATACCGATCAAATTAGTTGAAGAGAACCCATCTGTAGCTTGGAGGAGACTTTGATAAGACACTTTTGAATTGGATTCTCTCTGTGGATATGAAGAAAGCACCGTCTTGCTCTTTTTATACCAATAAAGTACAAAAAAACCCAACAACAAACTTAAACCCAAAATCACAGAAACCATAGAGATTATCACTTTAAAGGTCAACGTGGAGGTAATCTTCTTAGATTGTTCAAAGTTGCATCTAGGAAGCTGTAATTCAGGAGTACCCCCACAAAGCTTAGGGTTTCCAATCCAAGACATTGCACTAGCATTCTTAAAGATGCCTTTTGTTGGCAACGAGCCCTTGAAATCATTGTAAGAAAAATTGAAATACTGCAAATCGAAGTCCCCTAGATACTCTGGAACTTGGCCGGATAGATTATTGCAAGAAACATCTAGAAATTGAATACCCCTCAAAGAAATTAAAGATGAAGGAATGATCCCTTGAAAGAAGTTTCCTTCCATGTAAATTTTTTCTAATCTAACACAGCTACCAAGTGTGCTCGGAATCTCACCAGATAACATGTTCTTGGCAACAATCAATTCACCAAGATTTTTCATATTTCCAATTTCCATAGGAAGGGAACCCGTCAATTGGTTGTGAGACAAGTCTAAATACAATGCTAAGGATGAGATGCCAAAAACTTGTGGAGGTATTATGCCACTAAGGCTGTTTCGAGAGATNGAAGAGGATGTTTAAGCAAGCAACTAGGGAGAACAATGCCATGAGTTTTCAAAAGCTCTGGTTTGTAGGAAGCAGAAGCTCTAATTTTTTCAGACAATGCTCGGAGAAATTGAGGTAACATTTATAGAGACATCATGATTTCTAGATAGAGAATAAATCTTTCAAAGATTAATGTAGCAATGAGAACAGAAAGTTGAGGCGCTTCCATAGTCTTCCAGAAATGTCTATTATACTTAGTATTCTAATTCTTACTCAATTTTAAATTTAAGTAAAATTTAATTAAAAATAATTTTCAATCTTTTACTCAAACTCATACCAAATGAAAAAAGACTCAAATTCAAATTTTTACTCAAGACAAAAGAGACTTAAATGAAAGGAAATTCAAATTGTAACTAATTGTTATTCAAGATGTACTTATTATTAGTTCAATTCTTATATCTTATTCTTGTTAAAATTTGCAGCCACTACGATATATTTCTGACTTTGCTTTTGGGTGACAGAGTTTTAATTGTAAAAAATCTGGCTCCATATTACATCTAGCACATAGAGATTTGAGTAACATTGTTATTTGGACCGTGGGTCGCTTTAGTACGTGATACGGGTACGAATACATGGTACGATACAATGAGTGTAGGTTTAATTAATACAGTATTTTTTGTCGCAATTCGTATTACAACTCTTATGTATATCATTTTCACTACTACACAACATTATATATTACAAAACATTTATAAACACTAAGTTAGTTATTATTTCTCTTATAATTGTACTTAATTTTTTATTTTCTAAAATAAAATATAATTATAAATCTATATACATTAAGTCAATTAATACGTATTTTATATTTGTTTTATATGTTGTAAAACGAATTAATTTAAGGTTACTATCACAATTTTGGGTTGTCCATTTTGGTGATTTGAAAATTGCGAACCCACCTCGTTTGAGATCGATGTATCAAGATCGTAAGTTGTTAAGAATTTAATCAATTGTGTAACCATGATGTGGGCCATCTGCTAAATATTCTTCAATAGCCTTTTGCGACAATACTGCAAATTCGGTTTGCACATGTGAACAAGAAATATCTTGCAATAGTCAAAATTTGTATGTCATTTTTTTCCCCCGGGCAACTCGGGGAATGAATAGTCCCACCCGGATGTTCAAAATCTTGTGGGCAAAAGATTCAAAGCAACATTTTCCAATGATCATTTTTTTTTTGCTAGTAATTCAAATGATTAATTTATCATTGAGGTGTTAGGTTCTTGATAACTTGTGGATAGGGGTGCAACTTGAGTTGAGTAATCCGATTTCAACCCAAGCTCAACCCGAAAAAATTAGGGCTTAGACAAGGGTTTTTAATACTTGGGTTAGATTTGGGTCAAAAAACTCCAACCTGAATTCAATTTGGGTTGGACTTGGGTTAAGGCCTCGTGAACCAGAGTTCAACCCTAGTCCAACAAATTAAAAAAAAAAAATTATATATATATAGATATGTATTATATATATAAAGCACTAGCACTAGTTTTTCATTTTTATTCTATCGTTCTCTGTCTCTCTCATTCTCTTTGCCTCTCTCGTTCTCTCAACCTCTCTTTTTAAAAACTTGGTTGAAATTATTAGTTATTAAGTTAGGTGAATATTATATAATATATGTATTAGATTTAGAACAACAAGCCTATTTTTGGCTCTACCAGAATGAAACCCGAATTGAATCGTAAAGTAACTCGAAATCAGTCCGAAATCATCAATCCGAATTCAACCCGAGGCTGTCCGAATTAAATTTGGGCAGTGCTCGGGTTGAGTTCCCTAACCCGAGGTAGGGTTAGAGTTAAGGTTAGGGTTGAAGATTATATACCTAGGGTTGATTTAATCCAACCCACCTGAGTTGCACCCCTACTTGTGGATGAAATAACGTCGCGTACAGGATGAAGACATGACCCTGGGGGCGGATTTACAGTGGGGAATTGTAATTTCCAAAAAATTTAGGGTACATTTGATACTTAGAAATATTTAAAGTTTTCTAAACTTTGCTCCCAGTAAAAGTTTAGGGGTAGTTTTATATTTTGCAAGTAGAGAAAGAGGATGAAGAGAAAAGGAGGAAGAGGGTAGCCATGAAATCTTCTGATGGTACCTTAGACTGACTCGACTTCCGGGGACTCAAGATAATTTGGAGCCTAAAACGGTACTTCTAAATGAAGCATTCTATGTTTAGTTTTAATATTTTCTATTTATAATTAATGTTTATTGTTTTTTGAGTTGCAAAAATATTAATTAAGTTTTTATATTCAATTTTTGCTACCATATATTTTTTAATTGATAGTATTGTTAATCCAGTTAATTTTTCTTGTGACATTGTCGATCTTAAGTAAGATTTTATCAATTTGAATTTTGAAAAGTTTCTTTCCGTAGAAGCAACTGTTACAGGAATTATTAATAATATTCTATAAGCAATGCATGCATTTGAAAAAAAAAAAAAAAAAAACTAACCTTTTTTATATAATTTAGTATCTCAATTAGAGTATTTTCTTTTGTTTGTAAAATTTCTTTTAAAACATTTAGTTCTAAAAATAAATCTAAGCCATCAATATCGAAAAAAAATTATGTTTTAAGAAACATTCGAAAGCCAAACAATATTATTTTAAACTATCATTGGTCAATAATTTTAATTTTTCTAAGTTAAATAAAAACGAAAAATAATTTTGTACTTTTGTAATTGTTCAAATCTACTCTTTAGTGAAGAAATAGCTTGATCAATTATATATGTAAAATAATCAATTCTAAAAAATTCTTCAATAAATTGTGTTAAATCATCATCAACATTTTTATCAAATTATTTTTTTCTATGAACTCTACGTTTTTAATGAAATATAGGTTTTATACCCATTTCACATGAAATCTCTTTAGATGAAATCATAGCATTTGTAAATCCACTTTCCCGATATTTTTCAAAAATAAAAAAAATGAGACCTTTTAATTGATATATAACAATATCAATATGTATGTCTTTTGATTGTAAATATTTACTAACTAAGTTTGCAAAAAATAAAATATCATACCAAATAGTTATGTCCAATAACAACTCAAAATTTTCAATCTCATGTGTTGCTAAATAATTAGTTTCACTTCTTGTTTTAGGATCTTCACTAGTTCCTGCTAATTGCAATAATGCATATCTTATTCTTGGAGCTTGAAATGTTATTACTTTAACACTTCAAACACGATTTTCCCAATGTGTTTGTGATAATGACTTAAGAGTTAAACCTTGAACATTATCATGTAAAATTTTTCATCGTTTTGTAAAAAGAAGAAAATAATGAATGTATGCGTTGTTTATTCCAAAAAATGATATGGCATTGGGGCAAGAGTTAGTCATATCATAAAGTACTAAGTTTAAATTATAACAACCACATGGTGTGTAAAATGCTTTAGGATTTATATTGAGTAGCATTTTTTGTACACCTTGATATTTTCCGTTCATATTAGATTCATTATTATATCTTTGTCCTCGTACATCATTAATATCTAGTTCAATATTACTTATTACATCTATAAGTTTATCAAATAAACATTTTTCACTCGTATCATCTACTTTAATAAACTCCAAAAAATATTCTTCTATTTTTGTANAAACTCCAAAAAATATTCTTCTATTTTTGTAACACCCCCTCCACATGACATAATATTGTCCGCTTTGGGCCCACTGGCCCTCACGGCTTTGTTCCTCACAGTATTCTTGGGAAAATGTCTTATACGAGAGTGGCGACACCCGCCCACCCCCATCAGAGTAGCGCAGCGCAATGGCCCACCCACCGTATAATATTGTCCTCTTTGGCAGGAGTACCCCTCCCCCTCAAGGTTTTGTTCCCATTACGAGTACCCCTCGTTGGAAGGCATTTATGCCATGTAAGGGAAGGGGCTTACTAATAAGCTCAGCCACTTTCTCCTCCCTAACCGATGTGGGACATTAGGATCGCACAATCCACCCCCCTTAGGGCTGCACATCCCCGTGCAACAGCTCGCCAGCTACTTGCCCGTCCATTACTCACGAGCACGTCAGAGGCCCACACTCGATCTAGGCGAGAGTCAGCTCTGATACCAACTTGTAACACCCCCCTCCACATAGCATAATATTGTCCGCTTTGAGCCCACTGGCCCTCACAGCTTTGTTCCTCCCAGTATTCCTGAGAAAAAGCCTTATACGAGAGTGGCGACACCCGTCCACCCCTATTAGAGTAGTACAGCATAGTGGCCCACCCACCGTATAATATTGTTCTCTTTGGCAATAGTACCCCTCCCCCTCAAGGCTTTGTTCCCATTACAAGTACCCCTTACTGGAAGGGCTTATGTCATGTAAGGCAGGGGGCTTATTAACAAGTCTAGTCATTTTCCCCTTCCTAACCGATGTGAGACACCAGGATCTCACAATTTTTATTGGACTTGTTATAATATCTACGTATCGTAATATGAGAGACATTTGTTCTTGATGACTTGCATCAAGAGTACAATCAAATGTGATTGAATAATATTTTACTTCTTTAACTTTTTTAATAATATTGCTTCTTATTTCATTTCCTAACAAACTTGTCAATTCATTTTGTATGTTATATCCAAGATAATGGTTATGAATTCTATCTTGTTGGATACAACAAACGTGTTCTTGCATTATCGGATCAAATTCCGCAATCATTTCAATTAAACTTAAAAATTTTGTCATTATTTCCTTGATATATCTTTTCATTTTTTTCTTAAAATCTAAATTATTTTTACCAAAATTCTTTACAACGGCAATAGTTCTTACTAATACATTTTGCCAATATTCTTTCTCTCTATTAATTTGTCCTTGGATATTTTTATCCATTATTTTATTTAGTTGCAAACTTGTTTCTAATTCAAT